TTATTTCTCTGTTCTTATTTCTCCACATCTGGTGGATAAAATCATTTGGATTTGTTCCCAGCTGGAGGCCAAGCGTGGTGCAGGTCCTTTGGAGATGCCTTGGGAGTGGATGTGCCCAGTTTTCTGGGAACAGTTTGATCCTGTTGGGCCTGAGGAAAACTAGGGTCTCTTCTGAGCCTCTTGCCCCTCCCACTATCCAGCTGCGGGCTATGCAGTCTCTTATGTGACTGGCCCAGTCTTCCAGGGTCTTTCCTGCATACCATTACAGGAAGAGCCAGGTCTTCAGAGCCTTACGAAGACCTAATCAGAGCCATCCAGATCTCTGGGGGGATGCTGTTCCACAAGGCAGATGCAGCCATAGAGATGACATGACTTGGGTCCAACAAGACGGAATTATTTGATGAAAGGGACCTGGAGCATGCCCTCCCTGCTAGACCTGGTTGGGTGGGCAAAAACAATGGGGAAGAGGCGGTCCTGCAAATATACAGGATTTCATTGCAAATTTCTTAAGTATGCCAAACATTATAATACACTAAATTAAAATGTATGTCTATTATGTCATTAATCAAATAAGTCAGATTGGATGGGGAAGCAAGTAATACATCTATTAGCATTTCCCCCATATTTTAATTTATCCTGCAAAAAAAAACAACCTTCAGATTCTTCTCTTTTCACTGTGGGTTCAGTAGTTCTGTAAATATATCACTGATGAGAATGTGTACTTAGGTGATTAATGCTCATGTATATAAATATTATTACTAGTACTCCTCCCCCCCTTCCCATTAATAGCAACAATTGCATATGAAGAATCAGGGCCAGCTGTAATTTCTGAGATTTAGGTTTTCGTGTGGTGCAATTCCTCGCTCCCTTCTAGCTTTGTTTTGATGAACTGTAAAACTTTGTTTAGCACTAGAAATAGAAACAAGGCTTTTATCTCACCAATCTGTTGGAAAAACATTAACCAATCTCCATAGAGAAGGCCTTGAGAGGTGCACTAAATGATACAGAATTGTACTTCTTTCAAGTGTTATCCATAGGTGAAGTACTATGCGATTTTGGATTGCAAATACACTGAACAGCTTATTTATTGTTTTTCTTAAAAATAGGTTTATTGCTTTTGGTGTTGCTCAAAACAAGAAAATCATTGCAATAATATTGGCTTAATTATACTAAGTCAGAGTAAGATCACATAAAGTAAATGCAGCACACTATCCCAAGATCTTGTTTGCAAAATATAAGTGTAATCTTGCTGCCTTTGTTTAAAAAAAATATCGGATACAGCAGAGAAAGCAAAGCAAATGAAACATTAAACATGATTTTTAATAAATTATAAAAGCCCTTTCTCACTAATTTAAAATGTGTATAACATTACTTATAACTAGGAATCCAACTTGGGGGAGGGGAAGGGAGCCTATAGCATGTTGATAACTGAGAGCCAGTGGGGTACGATTAAGGCAGTGTTTCTCAACCTTAGCAACTTTAAGATGAGTGGACTTCAACTCCCAGAAT